AATTATTCGCATTACTGAGATCGACATTGGATATTCATTAAAAGTTGCGTGGTTTTCCATGCCATTTAATCCAAAAAAATCAAGGCGTAAATCAAACATAGTAGGGTTAACACAACCCATTTCCCGTTCAATTCTCAATCTATATGCCATTCTATCTTGAATTAGCGTGGGCGGATAATGTCCTCATTGGGAAATGGGTTACATATGCATTTCTGTGTTATACAACACTACAAGAAGAACGAAGCATATTTCATTTATTTCAACTTTACTTTTTTTTTATTTGAAAAAGAATCTCAGAGACATGACATCACTGACGCTGCAGCTGAAAAATCCTCCATTCAATTAAAGTGTCAGTCATCGGGTACTTCTGATCGCAGAAACAATAAATAGTTCCGGTGGACAATTTTTTTGTTTTCTGTTAATGATATAGAATAAAGAACATCCAATATCATTGCCTGCATCAGGCGTTGGACATTAGCGTATAGGCGTACAACTCAAAGCTGGATGTTGACATTCAAACGCATTTGTTGTTTTCAGAAAGAAAATTATTTGTCTGGACTTGTTAGCCAATCACACTGAGGTGACGGAAACCACGTAAGAAATTTGTTAAGAAAAGCGCTGATTCGCTGTGTGTTTTTTAACGGATCTTACCTATTATATATAAAAGTGGATCTGAAGTGAGTATCCATAGCTCGACCAAGAAGCACACTAGAGCTATTGGAACAACCCATACAGGTATGACCTTTAGATGGTTCGTTAATACTTAAGAATTGAGTTCTTTAGTGAGTTTTACTTTTTATTTGTTGACTATATACTCTTTAAACATTTCTCTCTATTGCTAATATGAAACTAGAACAGCGCAATTCATATATCAACGATCCATTTAGGCAAACACTGAACAGCAGATTTGACAATATCCAAATAAGATGTCATAGTTTTACTATCAAAATTGAGAGTTATAACAGTAACAAGGCAAAGCTGTTGAGATCCGTGATGTATTAAACTGAGTATGTTTGACTATTTTGTCATTAATCATATTAACTTCGCTCAAACTCTCCAATTAATGTTATTAGCTCAAGCTCTCTGTAAGGAAATGGCTTCATTTGAAGCGTGAGACTTCCTAAAAACACCCATTTTAAGAAATCCAAACTGAGCACTGTTTTTTTAAATTTAAAGCAATTTTTAACAAGATATCTGAGGCGACTATAAATTTGTCATATTCTTCATAATTTTGTATTAATTTTCAGAACGCATATGATTTCTTTTTCCTTTTAATACATAACGTGCGATATTGAGCGTTAATGCTGAGCAAGACGATTATTTAATCTATCAATATAACTCGGTTGTCGGTCCTGCCCAAATTGCTCCTCTTTTTTAAAGATATCTTCCTATCCTGTGAGTAGAAGATATACCGAACAATGACACGTTTTCATTAGTCAAGCTTTTATATCAAAAACTATTTGTAACGCACACAAAACAAACTAACAGCAAAACGATTAACGAGTATCGTTTTAATTCGCCGTTTTGTATAGTTCTTGAAATACAAAGGCTATTTACGTTTAAGAAAAATATCGCTTTCCTTGTGAATAGTATTTCCTTAGCTTTTCTTTGATCAACGTTTCCTGTTTAATGAATGATTAAATAAAACGTTTAGAATAATCACAAGCATCTGTTATAGGTGGGTGAGCACTCGGAGCAACCTCCAAAAACAAAGAATGTTTTCTTTGTATATCGATTAAACAGGACTATGAACATTCTAGAATTCAAATCGGAAGATACATTAATTGCTTTCAACATACAGTAACAGCACTATTACTCAGTGAGAATCAAATCAAGAACAGTTGCAACAGAGAGATATAGCACTGAAACGATTTTTAAAATGTCATATACCACTGATCAGAAAATGAAAAAAGAAGGAATATACCACTGGATAGAAAAAGAAAAAAAAACAGAAAATGGGAAATAAACAGGAAAATAATCTGCCGACTGACGAGTAGTAAATGAGAGTCAATATTAAATACAAGAAGAGAAGAATAAACAAAGTGCATGGAAAACGTCCAAAGTACTTTAATTGCAGACTATTTAAATATAAATGTAAAACTATATCAAAATTGAACGTTTTAACTCCATTATATAACATGGCAGGAATTAAAACACATCATTTGTCATACTGAGTCATTTATTTCACGGATTTTAAGCACATTCAGATTTAGGCGTTCACTTGCGTTTATATTGTTTATTCGTTTTTTGAAAAACGACATCAATTGAATAATTCGGTAAAATCTTCTTTATTTGCACTTAACAAAAAGATTTACTTCTACGGATGTTGTTCTCCACAAATCTCTCCATTAATTTCTTAGCTTCCTCTCCGCTAGCCGTTTTAAATGGCGTCAAAGTTTTAAGTGTCATTTATTTAGAGTTTTCTCGAGTTGTATTCCGTTATAAAAATTCGTACATAAAATACTTATTAATTAGTGTTTGTAAAGTGTGTGTGCTTTAGTTGAGGCGTTTCATTTGTGATAGGCTTGAAACACGAGCGGACTTGATTCGTGTTTTGTGTAAGTAAAAAACCCGGAAAACTTTGCATGTGCCACTTTTCTCCTTGTTGTCCTAGCTTACAGTCGCCATTTCCATTTCATTTCTATGAATTGATCACTCAATCAATTAGTCAGTCAAACAATCCCTCGTTCTGTCAGTGAGTCAATAGATCAGTAGGTCTGTCAATCAAGTCCGAATATTCTTAAATCTTAATATATCATTAACATTTTGGTTTATTTTAGATCTCAAAGATGACATTAAAAGTTCTAGTGGTTCTTCTTGGTATAATTACCGTTTGTAAATCGGAAGAAACAAACAAACAAGCCAGATCCATGTCCATGTTTGCTAGTAAGTGTCCCCCCGGACTATGGTGCGGCAAGAAACGATCCCTAGTAATGTCGAATTTGAAGAAAATAAACAAATTAGACGAAGACGCATCCAAGCCTCTAGACGAAAGATCGTCCATGTCCAAATTCGCAGCTAAATGTCCCCCCGGATTATGGTGTGGAAAAAAGAGAAATGCCCCGTTGAAACTGCAAGAAATACCTGAAATTCCAGTAACTGGAGAAATCATGCACAATGAAAGGCCACATGAAACGGTAGATCGAAATGTGCATCGTCGATTTATGAGTAGATGTCCCCCCGGACTTTGGTGTGGAAAGAAGAGAGACTTAGTCACAAGATTTGCAAATAAGTGTCCCCCCGGACTGTGGTGCGGTAAATAGAATATCTGGTGAATTATGAGCTTTTGCGAAAGTTTTATGTTAAAAATCGTGAAGTTGGATGCAGTTACGTTTAATTCGAATTATTAAGTCACCAGCGACAAATGAGCACAGCATTAAGATAACTACAAAACCAAATTGTTAAATTTTTGAACCTTTAAAATACCAAGTCGAAATAGAATCTATTACTGTAACTTTGCTTCTTTATAAACCTTAATAAAAGCCGAAGACTGGTGGCAGTACGTGGCAGTTTCTATTCTTCAGTTAGTGAAGTTCTTACTGTTTTTTGCTCTTGGGACCTTTCTATGCCGGCATAAATAATTAGACTTACCATAGTCACATATAGGACGAAGTCTTCTTCACCACAAACACGATTTTATCCCCCAAAATTTCTCATTCTTGCAGTACATACAGTGAACGCATGTTTTGCATCTACGTCCGCCATCTTGATTTTAGACCGAAAAAGTACTGGGTACCAATTGTATGTTTTCCCACAGGAAGCCCAAAATATCTCCTTTAGTTGTCCAGCAAAATAATGGACGATCAATGAAAGGAAACACTAAGAGAGATTTTTTTTATTTGAAAAACAAAGCATGCTGGCACTCCAATTTTCGCCTAAAAAAGAAAATTAAGAAATAGCGATACCTCCATCTATGATGCTGGGGCGTTGGAACTGGCACTGGGTCTAGTAAGAGATTGCGCGGACTATCCACACATTGCGATGAAAAGTTAAGCTATATCAAAAACCAGACGTTCAAAAGTCAGTGAAACGATCAAATGGGATAGACAGCTCGTTGGAACTCAGACCTTTATCAAGTACTGCGGGTGCATGTTCAGCGAGCCATGTCCTCTATATCGGGCGCTTCCATCTCAGTACTATGAATATCCCGGCTTGGAGGAAGTCAAATCCTTAGCATTTCAGCATTGCAAACTCAAATTATGACATATATACCAATGAAATTTAGTAGAAGAGGAAGTTACCATTATTTGTAGGAGTATGTCCCGGGGGGGGGGCTCCCTAATATCAAAGGGCGGGGATCCTCGGCGTCCCTTTTAGCACAGGGAGCCCAAGCAGTGACTTTGAACCTATAATAGTTAAAAATAAAATTTTACTCAAAAAAAATGGTCTACTTTTATTTTATTTAGTGTCACAATGCATTATAAATTGGTTTTAAAAAATATCCCCTACCTATATATATATAGTCACTATATATAAATAGGTAGGGGATATTTTTTAAAACCCATTTATAATGCATTGTGACACTAAATAAAATAAAAGTAGACCATTTTTTTGAGTAAAATTTTATTTTTAACTATTATAGGTTCAAAGTCACTGCTTGGGCTCCCTGTGCTTTTAGGGTTTGAAATCAGTATTTTGGTCCCGCTTAGGGTGATCATGACAAGAATTCCTACCAACTGTGTTTTATGGTCCCTTTTAAGGTATACGGCGACCCTAAGCAGTCATAAAATGGCAACGTCGTCATAAACTCAATACGAGCCGACGGTGTTCGATGATTGTGTAAAAACACAAATAAAATCGGTAAACCAAACCAAAATGACCTGTTATTGATTGGTCCCTTTTAGGGTTGAAATTTCAGCACTGCCACRCCCATCATCTCACAATAGAGGTCCCTTTTAGGGGTCATTTTCACAATCTCCGCTGAGGATCACGCCCTTTGATATTAGGGAGTCCCCCCCCCCCCGGGGTGTATGTGCGAAAGAATCAGACTAAACACTTTCTAGTTGAACGTTGTTATTTGAAATCATCAGATAATTGACAAACTTTACAAGTTATCAGGTTATACATTCATGAATAAAATATAGTTGCCGAAAGTACACGACATTGGTTTTCATAAAAACCCGTGAAATATCAAGTGCAGTTGGGGAGTTTCCAGTGGCGTTTTGATATATAAGGATTATTGAAATAGCGATTGTATATATTGTATGCATCATCTGCAAAAGTCCTCTTTTTCTTAATTGTATTCTGATCTATTTATTTTCATATAATATCATAAATATTACCGCATAAATACATCTTTAGAGTGGAAATATTAAACCCACGAAACGAAACATTAAGGTAGAAACTGCGTCAAATAAGAAAAAAAACTGGCTACTAACATCGTAACTCTAATATCTCTTTCACGGGTTTGTGGAGTCCACTTGGTTCTTTTTATCTCTAGAAGCAAATAATATCTAAATTTATTGTATGTAAGTCACAATCCCCCGTCTACATTTATGTTACGCATTTTGAAAGATGTTTACCCTAGTGGAACATTACACATGCGGATGTGATAGTGTGGTATTGATTGACACAGTGCACTGTAAAGTTAGTCATTGCCTGATGCTCCTCATATGTTCATCCTTGGGCTACCTTTCTAATGGCTTTGATGACAGGGGACTAAGGACTCCTTGTCGCCCCACGCTTTTCATTTTATAAACAGGAATCCCAAGCAGAGAGGAAWACAGTGTTTTCTGTGAGGTCACTGAGTCTTGCCTTACATGGCATATGCCGCGRRTTTGTATAKTTAAAAGGCAAAACTCTTCACTGTGTAAATCATCATTAAAAACMTTGTTTTCGGCGTTAATACATGTTATTGTAACGATGTTCATACAGTACATAATGACTATAAGGGTTTGAATACGGAGTTGCGTATCGAATGATTGGTGCTACCACGTTACTTTGCTGACCATACGTCGAAGGAATGTAGTAACGCGGAGAAAGGCTGTGAGCTTGCTCGTGTGAGCGTTGCTTCCTTTTACCTTTGGAACGTCTGTTAGAGAACCAAACCTAGAAGTAAAAACAAGAAGCTATAAGATATTAATAAAGAGAAAGCATTCCGTAGAAGGATCTTCTGGGTTGCCTTCCTCTGGTGCGAGCAGAGGTAGTTTTTCCTTTTCTACAAAGAGAAACTATCTATGCTCGCTGTAATTGTGGTGAACGTACCTGGACCCTAGATTCAGGGACGTTAAGTCTTTTGGCCAAATCTTCTCGAGTTGTTATGTCGGGATAGTGCATCTCATTRAAKGTTTTCTCAAGCTCTTCTAGCTGCTTCGTTGAAAACTTTGTACGATTTCTTCTCTGGTAGTGAATCAATGGTTTGTTTGGTAGATTTGTATTGTCTAGAGAGGASGATTTCATGTCCTTACCAAATTGCCCTAAATGATGGAATAAACATTAAGTTACAAAGGCTAAATTTGAAAAGATATATTGGAATAAAGATTTACGACCGAAATATGCAACGAATAAAAGCAAGGGAGAGGCAACAAGCCTACAACATACCAAAATTATGATAAACGATGTCTTGGCCCGACTGACTGTCTTTATTAAGGTCGAGGATATTTGCGATGGAGAACGCACAGGTATTCTTTGAACTCTTCTCACTTGCTTCTGTTGGTCTTTTCTCAGAGAAGCCTTCTTGCCAGCCATGTTTTATTCCATTGCGCCCTGTCAAACGGTCATCCATGACTTCACCGTCATATTCTGTGTCTTCTTCTCTTTCCTTTCTTTTCTTGCATTTACCGGGCTCAATAGAACCAGTCTCTTGGTATTTCGCTAACAATTTACTGATGCATCCATGGGATACCCTAAGATATCGACTGATGTCACAAGGACGGATTTTGTTCTCAGCCATTTTGATGATTTGTTCTCGAACAGTGCGAGGAAGGGGCTTACCATTGACAAACACGCCACCCAATTGGTTTACCTTTCCTTCCCCTGAAAATAAACCAAGCACTTTGTTTTAACGTTCMTACGTCTGTATAAGATGAAACATGAAGAAAGAAATAGCGCCTTCCCATAAAGGTTTTATATAGTCAATGGTTTTTGTAGAACAAAGTCCCATTGCCGGAGTCACATTCAGTTTCTATTTTTAATGCTTTTCGTTATTTAATAATTCCGCTTTTCACATTTTACAAAGAAGTAAAGTCATGAATTCATTCTAAAATCGATTGGCCCAACCGAATAAAAGTTCATTGTCTGGGATTCACAATAGCTAGTGAACTTGTTGGGATGCGGGATGAGCCTACAATGTAAACAAATGCAAGTGTTTCTTATTAGTTAATCTAGCCAGATAACTTCTTTTACCTACAACTTTATACAAAACATTTCACGATCACATACGTATTCGGAGTGTTTTCAAAGTTTGGTCTCTCTTACTTTCATTGACTTAAATACAGATACAACAATTTCCGGCCACAAGGCGAACCCTTGAAGTGCCAAACACTAAAATAGCTTGCAATCTTAGGAACAGTTTCTCTGCTCTTGGAAAGTTCTTATTTTAAGAATGGTCACAAAAACAAACTCAGTATATTGGGTTAACTAGTGCGGTTTGTGTGATAAACATAATACGTCGTTTAGTTAATTGCGAGCAGAATAAAAGAATCGATTATCAATGATAAGATATTTTCTTTTGTCTAAAGGCCGTAGACTTTAAATAGAGAATTTTCARGTAAAGTGTGATTAAATATATGGTTACTCAAAGACAGATTAGAAGAAGAAACCGACTAAGAAAACGATGAACGGCAAGAGGGAGGTAACAGCCAAGTTACAGTAGTGAAAAGCGAGATGATCAYCTTTTTCATCWTCGATATGCCATGTGAGAAAGCAGGGAAAATGATTTCTATTGGCTGCTTTAGAAAAAGCAATTAAAGATCGAGATTCTATTTATTGTTTAAGAAAAGAAAGTAGATGAAATAACTTACTGACATTTCAGAAGTTAATCCTTTGTCAGAATAAAGTGTTCTAAAAAGGTTTTCAATTATCGTCAATCAGACAACATGAAAATGCTTTGCGTCAGGATTTGTTTGCTTTTGAGGCGGACATATTGATATCCTCATAATGTTCCAATAATTGTAATCACTATAAAATGAAAACCCTGACAATAAAGAACTCATAGGTATAATTACGAGACCACTTAATGCATYCAWGACTGTTCGCTAAGTAATGATTGGCAACAAATGCCAGTCTGGTCGTCAATTATTGATTCAAATGCTCGCCATCGAGTTATTTCAAGATAGTGACGTTCAATGGACGAAATACTGTTGACCTTCTTTTGAGGAGAAACATATTTTTTCTTTATTGTCACTGAAATTGATATAAGACCATTGATATAGACTAAAAGAATTACTCTAGTAAAATGCACGTATAAAAAAGTAGCAATAATAATAATATTACTAAGTAACATTAATAGTAACATTGCAGTATAWAACTTAATGCAACAGCAATGTGCAAAAAAGTGTAAAAGAAAACGTAATAAATAGTTTGAGAATCAGTGACAATAGATATTGATGGAGAACAGGGGACGAAAATTTGTAAAACAAAACTAGCGAGTTGAAAAGCAGAATGTTCGAGTCAGAAATTCAGTCATGGAACCATCCCAATTATCAGATTTCAAGGAAACAGGACTAAGGACTAACAAACAGAATAGTCCGCGATATCTTTTAGACAAAGGAACATCTATAGTTTAACAAAGTCATGTTTCAAACTAGAAGAAAAGTTATATATAACTTATATGCTATCTATTAACGCGATGTTTGTAAACCGAATGAGCTAAACTGCTTCACATAAAGTACTAATAACACTATCTGTACTAGCAATAACAGCGATAATCTCTGATGACTACAGAGGCTTCATGTCGTATTGAATGATAGTTTATTGGAGAGCCACAGGGTGCAAAGTGGCTGCGGTTTGTTCAATTGTTTAACATTTAACATTTTGACAAATAAAACGCTAATCTCTAATCGAGATAATATATAAGAGCTAGCTGACTTAAAGGTTGTGTTTACTTTTAAACTAGTCTTTCTTTGCATGTGGTTTAAGAGAAAACCCATTTGTTTGTAAAGATTGTACCTGCTCTTCTATTTGCATCAATCTTAAGTGGCGATCATACCGCTAACCCGAATAACTAACCAAAATAGGGTCTTACAACATTTCCTCATCAATATTTGACAACAATAAGAAAACATATTGCTACTAGTTTGTGAAATTTTCTGTTAAGGAAATGGAAAATTTCAATCGCATGTTTCTTTTCTAAACGCGCTTTGTCTCGAGTTTTTCCAGTTTGTTAAGCAATGGTATTGTTGATCTAAAGTCATTTATTTTCATATTTCATACTTATTACAGCATTTGATGTCTCTCAGTTCCAGATTGACTTGAATTAAACTCGTTAATTTTTTTTTTCTAAGGAAACCAGTAAAGACAAAAGACAATGATCTGTACTTTGTTTTTCTGTGAACGAAAAAATGTCCAAACAGTTGTTCTTTAGCTAAAATCTTTTTTCATTCAATCATAAAAAAAGACAAGACTCAAAAGTCTAAAATTGATAAACAATTTTGCTATACGTATTTTCAATCTGCATGACCATGCATTATGTAACTATGGAATCGACTGTTTTTGGTTGAGATGAAGGGTTGGTCCATCAGCTGTTCGAAGTATTCAATTGAAAGGAGCCGACAGTATATATGAGTTCATATAATTCACATTCCCCTCGTGAATAATCCTATTTATTGTTGCTAAGACTTTGCTGGAAATATGCTCAAAAGTATCCGGGCTCAATCTGGATAAACTCATGCGAGAAAGGGGTTATCTTCTGCTCTTGTCAATACAGATACCTTTTAGTCTAAGGACATTCGCTCGGCGTTTCACACCGACTTCATTTTTCGCCAAGCTTAGCTACAATGTAGTTTGACAAATTATTCTCAGCTAAGAAATGTTTTATCACGATCATAAACCGTCTCCGTTGGTATCAAACGGCWCWTACTGTGAGTGCTAATTAGAACAAACAAATGGATTCTTGTCTCTCAGGGTGCAGCATGAGATATAAAAGAAAAGTTCATTAAAAATACTTCAAAAATTCATGCCCATACTGCAGTATTTTTATTTTGATCAGATTTGATGAAYACAAGAACAAGTGAAGTTTTTTGTCTTTTTCCTTGCCTCGAAAATATGTTTCAAAATTGTTTCAAAGTTGGACAACGGCTGGACTGCTACTTGAAAATTTCACAAATTAGGAAACAATCATTTTAATTTAAAATTTGAAGTATTAAGAGCAGCAAGGTTAACAAATTATCGCAAAATTAATTCATTTATCTAAGTGAAACCAAACTGGTGTCAAGACTGCTGCAATATTGATGCAATTGTATCACTAACTCGTGATCCTTTCATGGTTTAAGTGTTTGTGAAAATAAAGAAAAAACTCTTCTATTCAGTCCTATTTCTTTAAAAAACCAACGTTAAGGTTGTGGACGTAATTCTGCATTAGGAACAAGGTTGTTTATTGATGGCACGTAACCAGCCATACTGATACTACAATCACTCTAATTGTCTTTTGATGAAGATTTAAACTTCCGAAGGAGTGTAGGAAGTGCAAAACGAACAGGTCCTTCTCGTTCATTTTAACAGGAAATCATTTCTTAAGAATTATAACGTTGTCCTCACAAACACGCTGAAGAATAAGACACCACCGTGAAACGGGAAGAAGGAAAAGCCACTCGCAAATCTATTTTAAACCTTAGCTGGTATTTTGGTGTTAAATGAATGACGGTGCAAAGCAGTTGCTTCTGACTGGTTTTCAATTCTTTGATCAAGTGTTCGAAACTGTTACGATGATACAGCCACCTGTATAAGACGCATTCTCAACYGAGTTTACATATGTAGATTTTCGGGGTCTCTTAAACTGTTCAAGATCACAAACTATATTATTATTTAGTTCCATTATGGGAAATACTTTTCGTGAACATTCCTGATGGACCTGGTTGGAAATAAATTGTTTTGAAATACTCAGTAATCGTTTTWTAAGCCAAACAAAGTGGATGTTTGATAGTGTATATACAGCAAAGTGATCGATATTATTATTGAATGGATACGATCCCATAAGCATTCTCTAAACATTGCCAAGTATTCTTTTAATATTGTTTGAGGTGTCAGGAAAAAATTACCTTGTTCATTCCACGTAATTCACTCAAGAATCGGCTTTACAGATAAGACTTACTTTAATAGAAATTACCTTTTCACTTTACCGCAAATTAAGAAGTGCGAGCAAGATTTGGCAATAAAAATTAACAATCGAACTCTCCTGTCGCGTCGATTGCAGACTGACATGCAACCGCTAAAAGTCAAAACTGATGCTCGATTATACACATCACTCTTTTTTTCGACACAAACTATAATAGTTAACCCTTTACAGTTCAAGGATGAGACTTAAAATGAGAACAAAAAATATGCGTTAAACTTATAGTCTCAAAGTAGGGAAATTACTTTAAGATATAATGTCAAAATTCCCTTATTTCTTAATGCTGATATTGCACACATTAAATTTGTTTAAAAGTATGAAATATTGAGTTTACCTATACTGTAGTTTGGGTCCATGTCTGATATCAGGTCTTTAGCTTAAGTTGCGGTGTTTAGTGTTCTCTGTCTAATGCGAGAAATCAACGCTATCAAGCTAATTTTGTTTGCTACAAAGGACCCTATAAATGTCGTCATGGTCTCTCCTCAGGAAGGGGGACATGCTATGACGTCAAGTCCACGTGGGCAAGACACCTATTTTTGGAAAGCGAGCAATATTGAAATGTTAATTAATCATGTCTCGATAGGCATATGGACATTACAACTACAACTTTACTTGATCACTGATTTCTTAAAACTCACTCTACATCTTAAGATAGCAGCCTGAAAGTCTCGTCTCTCCCAAAGTGAGTAAATTCACACTTCCAAACACATGTAGCTTTATCTATTAAACCCAGTCAATCAATTACTGACTTGTATGATAATCTGATAAAGGTATCCACAAAAATAGTTATTTAAGCCATTTATTAAAAATTACCCGACCGAATGTCCCTCATCGCGAAAAAATCCCTACTTTACAGCCACCAACTATAAGCAAAAGTCCGCGGCATGTACTTTGTCCCTCAAAAGATTTGCAGTCATAACCCAGAGTGAGTCACTACAGATAACAGTTGGGATTACAAAGTGGCGATGTATGAATAAAGTACTTTTAATTTAGTGAGTAGGATTGTTCGTAGATTCAGTCTTGCTGTGTTTAAGTTAAATATCGGAATCTATGAGCCATAAATAGCTTTGCCAATTATAATAAAATGACGTCATAGACACGTGTATTGGAAACTTGACAAAGCCGTTTTAATTTTTGAGGAACTCGAACGAAATAAAAATAAAAGGAAATAACTCAAACTTATAGGATTGTCAATATCCTGCAAGACATGGATTTAGAAGCGTTAGTGGGATCACAGCCATTGCAATAACAGCGTACAGAGATTATCAAAAATAATAATTTAAAAATGATTTAAAACATTTAGAGCACCCAATCCAAAATATATACATTGCAAGAAAGATGAAAACAGTGCTACGCCGTCAAATGTTTTCCCCTATTGATTATAGCACCGGTTATTTGATAATAAAAAGCCATGCATGACAGTCAACACCCTGGGGTAACAGGCAAAATAACGGTTTGACAGTATAAAAGGACCTCATAGCTCAAGCAGGTGCCTGATTGATGAATATTTGATCAACTTGACTGTTTAACATAGATAGATACTCATCACAACCGTTAACCAAAAAAAGAAATCATCATCAAATTGCAAATAMTATATCAYGATTACTGCCAGGAAAAAAGCTCGTATGATTCACCAGAATTTTCATGTTATGAAGCGGGCCTCGAGTCTTGATAAGAGATAGCTTCCGGTTTGAATTACGTCTTTGAGATAGTCTAACGAATCTTTATACTGATATAAGCTCTTAATCGTTCTTTAGTGAGAGAAGCAGTTTTACGCCGGCCACCAGTTTTCAAAATACCCTAATTGGACATTTATCGATTATGATCTATTTTTGACAAGTATTTTGATATGAAAATAATGTCATAATCGTTGTCATTATCCGACAAGCCAACCAAGCATAATTTTATAATTTGTGCTTTCAAACTTAAGTAATATTTATCCTGACCTACTTGCCACTAGGCCTAAATTCTTACTGTTTTCATGAAAATGGAAATTCTACTTCAAATGACGTAGGAGAATTGAAGGGAGAGTACCAAGTTAGAAGGAATCAGAATGAGTGTCGGCCGCTCGTTTATCTATTTTAGACTATCAGTTTCCCAGCTATCTTTACTATCAATTAAGGACAGATATCCTTAATATTGATTTTTAGTGAAAATGAATAAAACACACGCCTTTTTTCTGATAAATAACGGAAGTGGGATATGGCTAAAAATTGAAACAAGAGTGCATAATTTGAGGCGTTTTATATAAATATTTGTTGTTTGTCACAAAGGAAGTTTGGTGTCAAGTTGTATTCTTTCAAAGAAAAGACCTAAGGACTTTGCGATTGTTATCCTTTCTCGATATGAATTATGATATCGATCTGTGAAAAATCAACTTAGCTCCCATCTGTAAAGCACAATAGAACGCGTTTAACAAATAGGTCAATTAACGGYACTGTGAACACTGGATCAATCAAATCACAACCTTCGAGACACGACATTCTCAACAATTTGGTTGCTAAGGGAAGCGACGGAAGTTTCTAAGACTTAAAAGGCTCTAAGCCAAATATTGCCATAAGGTTGTCGATACACACACGATTAGGAAATTCCCAGGAAGTTTAACTAAGAGACAATTGACGTAATTACATCCGTCGTTTGGGATGATCAAATAGAATACCCTCGAGAAGGACCGTTAGCAAAACAAGTATAGAATGGCAAGTAATTTATGTAGTGCTGACTCCTGTTTTTGACTAATGTAGCTGACTGGTTTTATTTCAAACGAAACAAAACGGGCATGGGATTGAGGGCGTTGGAGCAGCTGATCAYGTGATCGTTTTCTCATTTTGATTSAGGTCCAAGTTTACAATAAGTGTTTAGGATTGATGTAAGCAGACTTGGTATCTCTCCAAACACTGCCAAGTTATTGATAAATAATGATGTTGACTACATGGATAGCACGTGTTTAGTCAAACACGTTCAAAAGAAAGGAACAAAAAAATTMTCTGATTCCTTCCCGTGTCGGACTTTTGCTTCCATGCCATGCACGGTTCAGATTTTCATCTTAACTTTTTCTCAAGTAAGATATCTATTATAAATTGTAAACATAAGACGATCAATTTACAAGATAAGCATTTCTTTTAGAGTTATACTTGTTCTCGAATCACAACTTCGTTTGCAATGCACTATTAATCATTTCCAAGAAACTGATGCGCAGTAGATGGAAACTATAATTTATTGTCAACCAGTCGTTATCTTCTCAGCCATGAGAGCACCACTCGGAGCTTGAAGTATTTGTAAAACAGCTTGATATACGTAGCTATTAATTTCAAACACAAACTTTTTTGTTTCATAAAGACTCCAAGACCGAAATGCATTGTTGCTATTGTATTTCACRCTAGCAGCGTTACAAAATGAAGGCAATTCTAATCTAAATTGCTTTCCATTAAASTCTCAGAGTTGGTAAATTCTCTCTGAAACGGTGAAAATCTCCTTTTAGAGCGGTGATCCGACCGTATCCCGGAACATTTTCGATCTTGAAACATTCTAAAAACAAATACATAAGTAGAAGAATGGGATACCTGTAGTGTAAGAACTACTAAAGGATGATGGGATACCGGTGACAAACTAATAATGATAAAGATTTTATTTTATTTTATTTTATTGAAAATTTGATTTCATGACGATTTAATAACAAAACCCATTAGAACGTTTTCCTTATACTATCTGTCTAAAATATACACCGGTTTCAATTGGCTAACAGGTATAAGTCAATTTTCCATATAAAGTCTTTTTCATAGACTCTGACGTCATGGAATCAATTTGATTATGACGTCGAGGTACTTCAATTCAAAAAAAGTCCGCCAATCACCGTAAACAAAAGAAAATCAGTGCGTTTTACAATATTTTTTAGATTTGGGACCGTATGATGCGTTAGAACGATCATGTAAACCAAGCTACTTCGCCTTAATAATTCTACGATTCAATACTCATTCTCAACCGATAATATTGTTTATCATGTTACAGATTTTTTGCAAACATTTAGTCATAATTTACCTTTTAAAAAAACCCTAGAAATCGAACTTATATAGTTTAAAGAATCCCCCATTTTGTCCAAAACCAAAAACCTTTAGTTATACATAAAGATATATTAAAGATATATTACTTGAATTTCTCTATACATTATGGCCTAACAATGATATATATAACATATATTTCGGCTATTCACACTTTTAATATAATTATAAATTCAAACTTTGTTTGTAACATAATTTCTCATGAGGTAAGAATTAGTCTCTTTCCAGAGAATTTGTCGTCTATTTCTATGATAGCTCTATAAATTCAAGCTCTGGTTCAAGCTAAGATTAGGCATCACGGTCACGTGGCTACGGCAGACATTGAGTAGAGATTGACTTCAGACACTATAAGAAAAAACAAATACTGGTATAAAAATAGAGTGAAATAACGCAACAAGCAAACCACTTAACCAACCAACCGGCCTCACAATCACTGGCCAGGTAAGTACCAACCAATCACAATCACTGACCAGGCAAGTACCAACAAATCACAATATCTGACCAGCCAAGTACCAACCAATCATAATCACTGGCCATCCAAGTACCAACCAATCACAATCACCGACCAGCCAAGTACCAACCAATCACAATCGCTAACCAGTAAAAAGCCAACCAATTAGAATCACTGGTCAGGCAAGTACCAACCAATCACAATCACTGACCAGGCAAGTACCAACCAATCACCATCACTGACCAGGCAGGTACCAACCAAACAGCATCACTGACCAGGCAAGTACCAAAAACGAGAGCAAATCAATAATAATCATCCAACCAATAAACTAACCATCAACTAATCCAAACAACCAATAATCCAGAACTGATCATGGTTGACTTACTGTGTTTTATGGTGACGAACGTCTTGTTGTTTAACAGATTGTTTAAATCACTAAATGGGACAATCTTGTTGATCATTCCATGTGACTTTCTTAACGGTACAGTTGCTATGGTGATTGGAAGATCTACCTCAAGATCGAGGCCAGTGTCATGGTGGTGTGCTCTTGCTACAATTACCTAAAATATTAATTTTTCATTAATTGGTTATCAAAGTATTACAAATATATTCAAGTCGCAGTTGATTCAACCTATATAGTGAACCGCATGGCATTTGTTATAACAGTTTAACAATCAACTTCACTTTGTTCGAGATAACTGTCAGGTCTTGTCCACTGTCGCGTTCTGTTGCTGTCAACTATTGTCTTGTGTCGATCATCTTTATACCTTCAACTGATAGGTAATCGAAACGATCCCACAATTCCTCATACTSGGGACAACATCCGGGACCACAAGCTCATCRACTTTGCTTGAAAGGGCAGAGCGCTGGAGTAGCTTGAGGCGTTTGTACTCTGATCGATATTTACTCTGTGACTTGTAAGTTACAGTTTGAATGAGGTTTATGATAGTCTGGTATTTCTCGGTGAAGGGTAGATGCCTTATTTCTGTGGTTACGACGATTCTCTCGCCAGGGCAGTAAGCATTACGATCAGTGCTGACAAGCATCTGTAAGGGGGCTGCAGTACCATTGCGTAAACAATTTAGAGATTTTTGTGCCTCRCCAAAGACTGGCATCTGTGAAACGATAGTAAACGTGTTAACAAAATACAAATAAGGGTGCTGTTTTTGCCGTAAATCAATKTATGATTTGATAGGAATCAGTCCTGATTAGAAGCGACTGTCGCATAGTTCTATAAATAAGGGTGGTCTGGAATTATAGTCACATGACCTTACCAGCATTCGAGGAGAGTTGGCATCAATCAAATCGATAATGTGGATGGTTTCCTTGGTGATCTCATCAAATCTCCAGGGCCTGTCAATGCGCGCTCTCAAAAAGTAGCGAACATAACCCTGCTTGCTCTCAAAGGACGACGGGAGACTGAACGGCGGRATTTTAAACGTGAAGTCGAGAACATGTCTTCCCGGGTTTAGATGACTGTGAGCACCTTTGTTTTGGCCTGCAATGATTGATAGTAGTAAAAGGGTTAGACTAGGTCCATATTTCTGAATCTGCACAGGAACGGCGCAATGAATTGTTGAGAGGTTTCAGTAYACAGGCTGTTGATAACTTAATTGAAGCTAARTTTACTTGAAGAACGTATATGAGCACATGATAACTTCCATTCATGATGAAYTCRGGCTTTAGGTCGAAGACCTCATTAGGTGCTGCCGCACTATTATCAGACTTTTAATACTTCAAAAAGAAATTAACCTTCCAATAYTATATCGACTGAGCATGAAGTAAAATTGACATTTAAATTAAATTGAATTGATGTATTAATATCGTAGTCACTCCCTGGGTCCATATAGCCTTCAATATTGTGTAATAAATCAATAGCGAAACAGGTGCACTCTATCTATTCTAGCGCCACATACAACACGAAAACCTATTGAACAATGTAAATGACTATATTATTAACAGAAAGTAAAACTAGAAACTGGAGAAAACACAAAGCGCCAACATCAAGATTTCAGGTCTGGTGCGAGTTGAATCCAGTGCACCATCAACAATGTTCTCCGGCACTTAGTTCCTGGTACAATGTAAAACGCTTGACTAAGAACTATCATAACTGGAAAACTGAATCTGAAACCGCTTGTCTTGTTTGAACTGGACGTTTAATAACAAACGGTTTGCGCCGGATAGTTAGTTTATGTAAGCTTTTGTTTATATGCGTCGATTGAGCGCACCAAAGGTGGCGGGTTTAATGGCATCGTGTCAACATTGATTCATGTTATAGGTATGCTTTCTAGCTTCCAGAAAATCATTATTAACAACTACAGGAGAGAGAACAGAAATATCAGAATACATCTGTTGCTAAAATCAAAGTGCGCGGCATTGATAAAAACYTGCATATACAACACCTGGGAACACCTGGTAATATGGAATATATATGTCAAATGAAGGTTTCTGCACCATCACACTTACCACTTGCTAGAAGGGATGTCTTCTTGTGAAAATAGATCTCCTCGTCTTTGTGTGTTGTAGTATAGTTTTCCATCTCATCCCAGTTAGTTCTTGCTTCACCAACAAACTCAATTCTAACACTACGAAACTTGAGGGTTTCTTTTAGTCCTATGACACATTCTCCTGCTACCACCTCACCGGGATGGTAAATCCTGCTTTTACGGTTTAGGTTAATAGAAAAAGAAAGTCGCTTTTTCATCATTCAAAACTGACTTCAATAAATATCTTGAGTCAAGATAGCAAACAAAGACTTGTGAACACACGGCTTTTCTCTTTTCTTGTTCTTAGTCTGTTTTGATGCAATGTATCGTTGTCCAGTTACGTAGGTTGTTTACAACGAATGTATCGCAAAGCAATGTTGATGCTCAGCCAAACCTCAGAAGTCCAGACTTGTAGTTTGAAGAYAAACTTCAGGGTTCAAAGTACACTATTTTCAATATTTTTGGCAAAATTAAAAATCTCTAGGAACGCTCTTGAAATGGCCAGCGTTAATTTGTACACTGAACCAAACGTAAACAACGCTATTTGAATTGACGCTCAGATTGAGACATTTATTATTTAGTGCTTGGGTTGAAACTAGCCAATCAGACTGAAGCCTTGCACCATTTACGACAACGGTCACTCCTGGGGACCTAAATCTCGGCATTTCATTTTGTGTTAATTTCTTTCTGAAATCTTTGAAATTGATGTTTTTCTCAAACAAACTTAAATATGTAGATTTAACAAGCAAAGAGCGCGTTATGTTTATACAATATTTTGATGTGTGTCAATTAATAATATAAATATGGACAAAAACCTTTTTTTACAAAGTGAACATCGSCAACCATAAATATCTAGTACTAGAAGTATAAATGACTCAAGGACAATGGTTTTGTGACTCATTTCTAACTTGATTGAAAAAAATAGTTTTTAATTACTCAGTGCACCTCAACGGGCACTGATGTCATGTTGGCTACAGGTGGAACCGATGAGGTCACGAAAACAATACGATTCATCATCGATAATACGGAAATTTCCCGATGAAACCCGCGAGCTACTATCAACCTTAATAATGGATGTCGTTTGATAACAACAATTTTGAAAAACGMGTAAAATATTTTGACTGGTAAAAAATGTTTACCAAGGTACTGTTACCCTTTACCCAGTAATACTGATGAAGTTGAAAAGTAGACAGGAAAATATAACGAAATAGCGCGAGTTATCACTGAAATTGAAAATCTGTGAAGAGGAAATGTACATGTATCTTATGACATCTTGAAAACTGCCATTCTTTACAACCATCAAAAGAAAGTGGCCAATGCATGGTACAATCCCCAATTCATACAAGAAATACAGCAACAACTTCGAACTCAACCTCAATACATTGAACATTGTATAATAAAAAAAAACTAAAATAGAGGAAGTTCACCAGAAAAATTGAGACATAATTTAAGTCCAACCATTTAATACGTTACAAAGATGCTATTTTCAATCGTCTGTTTCCATGCTTTCTGATTCTCGCATAACTTGAGAGATTTTTTGTGCTTTCTTCTTTTTGGGAACTAAAGAAATTAAACAGTTCGATAGTTAACTTCATGTACATTCTTAGTATCCACCAAACTATTGGACAGCATTCTGATTGGCTACTGAACTATTGTTTATCCCTGATAGACTATGGTTGCATCAAACGAAGTGAACATAGTTGAAAAAAATGTTCTTTACCACTGAGAGGAGAGGAAAATTTGTTGTTGAATTATCAAAGTTGATAGTCCATTCTATCAACTTCTAGTCCAGCTTGACTATCAACTCRTAGTCCACTTGACCTTGTGGTCTTATTGTTAAATATAACAAAAGATAGAACTAGAAATGAATAGGTCCTGTGTTTACCTGGTTCTGTAATAAGATTGATATTTTGCAAAACTTCTTTTTTATCAGCTTCTTTGACAAGTTCTTTATCAGGTTTTAATCTAGATAARAGATGAAAACTTATTATTAGATATCATATCAACAATTAAAAAACTATTGTAGCGACCTCAATATTATTAAACTAAATAAACATATTACCTGTTCTTAATGTGCAGCTTCTGTCGTTTTTGTTTGATTTCTTCAATTCTCTTCATTGCACGCACTACAATAATTCACAGCATGACTTTAGTTCAATGTTACAAACTACAATATCCTTAGTTCAATGTTACAAAAAATATAATGACCTGTCTGACTCCAGAGCTCTCTGTTATACTTGACAGGAATATTTCTCTTCTTTTCAAACTCGAAAGTATTGTCCTGCAGACATAAAATTCTGTTAATCATGAAAATCAAATAATGAACTTGATTATTTTTTGACTAAGAAACAAAGTTCTTTATATGATATTAAAAGTTCTTTATATGATATTAAATAGCTTGTCACAGTTCCATATACCATCAATACACATAAACGTACAACACACTGCTACTTGGGCACGTTGGTCAGTCGAATGCAACGGGCAGTTTATTCTCAACTCCTATCTTACACATAAGACTATACTAGACTAAGCAGTATGYGGGACACGCAAAACCTGCCAAAAAACCCCTTTGGGGAAAAATTGGAGGAAACGTGTACCCCCACCAGGCAATACTGCAAMCTCGGAGGTAAGAGGTTCYTAATCCTAGGCATAGCAAGATAATAATAATACAAATAATGTGCAAATACGTATAACTTTAGTAGAGTATAACTCGAAAAATTCGCTAACGTAAAGTCGATAGATCGACGTTGACTGACCGTAGATGGCTAACACTCGTTACAAYCTTCCTTATATACCTCTACCCAGAGTGCATTGCGGCACTCAATTCCCTACAGGTTTCTGTTCCATGYCGGCAAAATATCCATTTATGTTTATTTCGTCCCTCATATACATAAATTACATTTATAATGTAACCAATGATAGATAAAAAGTGACAAAGGTTTCTATCACTGCATYATCATGGCTCATCTTTTTTCAATAGAGGCATTGCTACACACTGTACTTTTTAATATGGTGCATAGAATTATGAATGGGACTACTTAGATTATATTGGAATCAAAGAACGCTACATGTATGCAAGAAAGCTTCAGCTGGCTATACAAAGGAGCCTATATGGTGAACACTGAAAAACACCACAGAATTCGATATGCAAAACATCACTTCACTTTATTCAACAACATGTATGCATCCCTGACAAACTATCACCATGACAATTCATCCAATTAAGTTACACATRCTGCCTCTTGTCATAATGTCCATACTTACAATTGCAAGGTCTTTGCCTGCAGCTTTTCGAAATGCTTTAGTCCATTTGATCTTTCTTGGATTTCTTTTCATTTTAAAGTTTTTATGGCATTTTGATCGACAGAACCTGAAAGTCTAGATAAAAAAAAGTCAAGATGTTGATTTGACTCGATGGATGTTGATTCATCTCTAAAAAATCTACGTCTCTCTTGATTAAAATCTGATTAGAAAAACGCCTTTACCCTTGAGCTTACAATCCAATAAAACTCAATGACAACTATTTTTATGGCATTAGAAATCACGTGTGAAAATACTGTCACAAGTCTTGAAGGTTCACTACTCAATTAATAKAATTATTAGTGTTTATAAAGCAAAAAAAATCGGCAAATATATAACTTACTTTACAGTCGTTTCTCACAAATGAAATTCCATGTCCTGGGTATAYAGTAGACGAACAAAAATAACACTTCTCTAAGCGCATTTCTTCTGTGTTTGAGAAGGTGAAAAGAATGAAGCTCGTGGCGYAATGTGGGGTCAGCGGTTTTTATGAATCCAGTCCCTATGTGACAAKTTACCACAGCATACCCACAAATTATTTCAACTCATTTTATTTTCCAAAAAAATATTTGTGAACAATTCTTGCTGCCAGCAAATTCTAGGCACACAAATAACAAAAAAAGTAAACTTAATGCCATCTTATCTTATCAATCCAAAATATCTTATAATAATTCCACTTTTTTTTACTTTCCAAAGTGTCATTCATAATATTTCAATAAGTATAACATTTATAGCATCGGCATATAGTTGATCCTGTCATGTTGTAAAATTTATTTAACATAAAAAATAATGCATGATAATGAGGTATTTATAAATCCCTTGAATTTCAGTTAATTGATTCATATGTGGAAGCTGTCATTCGTTCTCTGTATTTCTTGAAGCAAACATAGATACTGCCAACTAGTATAAATGCCACAGGTAACCCAAGACCAACAAATATTGTCACCATAAGAGTYYTTGACATGGAGTCAAACTGTGGTTTGAAATAACCAACCTGACCAGACCTATACAAACAAAAATAACACATTAGATGATTGTGATAAGTTGGTACTTTTTAGTATCCCAGTGAACCCAAAAATAAACAATAAGTTACACCCATTTGGTTATGGTTGGAATAATAATCCCATACCAACTCTCCATCTTTTATAAGTCTAGATGCATGTTTCTCTCAGGTCTCCCTTCTCTTTTCAGGAAACAGCAGAATTATATACTATTTTCTTTGGCATTTATTCTTTCATCTAATTTTTTCACTTTCAGTATTTATTGTTACCCAATTTATATTCTGAATAAAGGTATAGTTATTCAAATAGTTATTGCACATACCAAGTTAAATAGTGGCTCTTTTGGTACCATCCATCTTTCTTCTGTCCAAATGAAATCATCAAAGGAAATGTTTTGTGTACATCAACTGCAGCTAGAATGATCTTTGAAGGTTTATCCTTGGAACTGAATAAACGGGTAGGCTTTGTTTGCTTGTATAGCTTGTATTTGTCAGAATCTTCATTATATGCATTGTACTGATATGATGGTATCTGAGTATCTAAATCTTTCTTTTCATCTGTATAAGAAACTGGTTTCCATGATATAAATGATGATTGGGTACTGTTTATGACATGGCTAATAACAAATGTTTTAAACACACCAGGGGAAAACTCATCATCGATAGATTGGTCTTGGTAAATAGTTGAGTTTTCTTTAGGGTGTGTTTCAGTATGTGTCAAAAGCTTCAAGGCAACACGAGTGTTTGTTGTGTTGAAGCTACATTTTTYTAAGGTAATGGAGAATCTTGTCCCGTTGTTGGAATAGAGTTGTCTTGGTGCTTCTGTTCCTCTACCATCCTTTGATGAAGAATTAAACTTAAAAGGAACAAAAACAATGTTAAAATAAAAATACATATTGGGGTTTCCAGGCTTATAACTCTGTACTCACCGTAAAAGTAATTTTTCCTTCCAAAAAAACACCTTCGAAGGTCACCTGGTCATTGGTGAAGGTAGGAGGTTTCCATTCTGCATCATGAATATTGTGTTTTTTGGCTTTGGCAAAATCTGTTTCAGTAAAAATGACTTTATCTTTTGGATCATWTAGTTCTCTAACTTCTGGTATTTCAAATGCAGTAGCATAGTCATATTTCCAGGAAATGGCTTTTTCAGGAWTTTTAGAAGTGAGTTTGGCGCAATTTATGTTTAGTTTTGAGTGGGGCTGAAAGTTATACTTTGACGTATATCCAACTATAATTGAAGGTATTTCATACACACTCCATATAAAGTGAACAATATTCTTGTTTGCATTGTCTGTGGCTGTGATGTAAACAATGGTTACATTGTYGTTGTGTAATGGACAATAGTATTTCTGTAACTGAACCTGAAATAGAAGAACATCAATACTTAACAAAATACTTTACAAAATACTTTTTAGTATAAGAATCCATCAAAAGATGCAAAATTATATAGGATATCATCAAATTACTTGAAAATGTACTTTACTAATGAGCTCTTGATTGTGCCTGAGCTAGAATGTAACACCGTGTAAAATATGTCCACAAAAGTAACTTAAAAACGTTAAGATTACATTTATGTTGATTTAGTAAGATAGATATTTGTACAAAGAGTTTAGCATGTACTATACCGCTGCTTCATTAAAAGATTTAGAATATGGAAATTGGATTTGAAGACCTTTGACAAATTGCAAATTCTGCTATTATTTCCTTCGGCAATTAAAATARATTTACATCTAGCCTATRAARTATTTAATGATATATGTCTTACCTSTCTTTCGGCAYTGTTGGAGCAGTTTGTTAGTCCTAAAACTACACTTAATGCCAAGAAAAGTTTAAAACTATGAGTGACCATCTTGACTGAAGCAGCAATCATGTGATTGTCACGGAGCTCGAGTCACGCGATTACCASAGGAAGCCCAWAAACACAGTGTAATTTGTGGTTTGKTGAAATCTGMGCTTGGCACGGTTTTTAATYATTKTTAGCAGTTTAAGAAACCATTTGTGGAGACCTGGCACAACCCTGGAAAATAAAGATAAGAGAAGAAGTTAAAGTGTATTTGGTGGTTCAACCAAAGTGTCATCTTTCAAGGAAAGACTGGGTACTAAGGAGSAYAAACAGGAACGCCAACAACTGAGAAATGACCCTTTCCTTTCCCATTCCTTGGCTTTCTTGGAATGAATAAGATCCATGATCTTAARAATACAAAWTTTATTGATCTCTTAAATGCTACCGCGACGAAGAAGCAAGCATTGGTTCACAACCACATTACTAATTCAAATCGATCGAGGGACCTCCTGAGCAACATCAGGCAGTCATGAGTAATATAAAATATYAYCAAWACATCACTTCTTCACGGATAGATGGTGTACTTACCACATTAAAAAACGAGAAAACGGTACGTATACTTAAGTGAAAGTTCATATCTATTCTAAGCTACAGTCTGCAGCTGATTATTCAATTGTTGCAATTTACACGTTCTAAACGTCAATTTGTTATCTCAATTGAACTGATTTCGTCAAATTTTATATATACTAGGCTAAAGCATATCCATTATTATTTCTACAAGGAAGAATTCATGTATAATTTCATAAAATCCAATAATGTTAGATCATAATGGCGAAAGCACAGGGAGCCCAATTTGATAATTGGAAAATTAATTCTTTATAGCTTCCACTWCCATCTCCTTCTAAAGTAGCTACCAACCAACACTTTTTTAACGACCCTCTCGCCAGCATCCTATGGCAACTGATGATGATATCAGGGTAAGTATGATTAACTTTTATTGTGTATGGTTTAATTAAATGGTTATTCATGTATTTATGTCTTCTTTAGGGTTTTGATATATGGGTCACATTCTATATTGATAAATTTATGTAAAGTGGATGGGAAAATTCCTTTCAACTCCGCAGCAGTTGTGCTTCTTATTGAACTAGCAAAGGTATATTTAAACTTTTATATAAAGATTTCATATAGTATATCCATCCATTATGAAGCACATATTGGATACTGCACCATTATTATTATTATTATTATTATTAGTATCTATAGGTGATTCTCATGACTTATGGAAAATATAACAAAATGTCCTTTTATTTTTTCAGTTGGTATTTTCATTGTTTTTCTTCATACCTGAGGTTTTGTCTGGAAAAGCAGTAAATAACTTGTCCATAAAGACAATCTTGGTGTTCTCTGTTCCTGCTATTTTGTACTGCATTAATAATAATATTGTTGTGTATATTCAACTCTTCCTGGATCCAGCTAGTTTCCAGGTATAGTAATATAATACTTTATATGGCAACATTGTTATATATTGGACACAATTGTCAAACCTAAATTACAATATACAAACAACTTTTTGCTAATTTTTAAAGGTAATGAGCAATTTAAAGATAGCATCTACTGCCATCCTCTATTGGCTGATTATTAAAAGGTGAGGACCTTTTTGCACATKGGACTACMAAAGGTAATGTTATAGCAGGTTGYATGAAATTTGCAAATTTAAAAGTGCAATTTTTTCCACAGAAAAATTTCTCAACAAAGATGGTTATCATTATGTCTTATAACAGTGGCTGGAATAAGCAATAGGTAGGTTAATTCACAATTTCCTGGCAAATATCCTAGATTTACTGTGCAATATTTATCCAGTAGCCAAAATAATATTCTCAAAAGCTTTTTCAATTTTTATGTTCATTTGCGTAACGTAGTTATGGAGGCCTTCATCATCACCATGAAATCTTGCCAAACAAGAAAGGCCCAAGTGAGATCTATGTTAGTTTAGTGGGGGTATTTTTGATGTTTTTATACTGCACAATATCAGGAATAGCAGGTGTATATACAGGTAAAGATAACTATGTATGTTACGTAATATGTGATTGATTCATGTTTATAGAMCAATGTGTCATTGATCACAAATTTAAGAAAATGCAATGGAAATTAGTGTATCATTGTTTAGTCAATTTTTACTCATTTATTTTTGTCTTGTAGAGTACATACTTAAAAGGCAATACCAGGTAGGATTGTCATTGCATTAAAGAGGGAGGAGAGAGATATGCAGAGATTTTCTTATCTTATGTGAAATAAAAAAAATGTACCTGAACCATGCCTATGTAGTGAAGATATCTGCAATGCATACTTATTTTAACACTTTACATTTTATTTACTTTCTAACAGATTTCTCTTCACTTGCAAAACTCATTACTCTACACATATGGAGTAGTCTTTAATTTCTGGGCCTTTCTTGCACAGCATATTCCATCAATCCATAGTTCACCTGATGAAAGTGGTAGGTATGTTGTAAGGGTRCTGAGTAATTCCATTCTCTTTTAATTGATTTTGTTAATGCTCAAAAGGAACAGGTACTGTCGTTGATGGRTTCTTTTCTGGGTTTTCCTTGTGGACACTTCTTATTGTAATAACTCAGGTGAGCTTTGTCTTAAATTAAAACTGAGCTTTATTCTGATAATTAACTTTCTATTTTTTGTTTCTGTAGGCAGCAAATGGTTTAATAATGTCAGCAGTGATGAAACACGCAAGCAATATAACACGGCTCATCATCATTGCCTGTGCAATGCTTGTCACTACTTTTTTATCAGTTCTGCTATTTTCTTTACAGTTGAATATATATTTTATTTCGGCCTTTATATTAGTAGTACTTGCATTAAAACTTTATCATACATAAACATATGATAATGTATATAGTATTATTTTGAATAAAGTAATATATATCTTTATTTGTGTTATTTTTRGTGTTGTATTTCTAGTAGGTTAAATATGTACAGCTGTTTCAGGCAACGTTGTACTAACGAGAGTTCATTAAGACCAAAATGCATTGTTGTTCGTCGTATCACCGTTTGCTGTTTGAGCTCAGTACCATCGRTGGAAAGCAATTTATAAACATAGTAACTACTAACTATGGCTTAGAATTTCATTTTGYAACACCACTTCCTCGAAGTCCRACAGCAACAATGCATTTCAGGCATAAAAGTGAACCTCGCTTTTTCGTRGCGAAACTGCGCAACAACGGACAGTGCGGAATTGATTTTTGGTTCGTACCTCATTACTAGTGAGTTCGAAGGCATRTGCAGTTAGCGTCTGTWTATCACGGTGAACAACGTTAACTTCTCTTCCTACAAGCTTCTAGAAAAACAAGACAGTAAYATCAAAGAACATCAGACCACGAGTACTTGGGTTTAGGTGGGCGTGGCAGATCATGAGGTACCAACGTCGAATGCGTTTATTCAGTACGACTTGCTGCAAGGAATTAGATGTGGTCATGGTCTTTTAATATTTTCGGCATCTGATGTTTGCTACAGGTACCAGTGTTTACGACCTACTTTCGCCGCCTCTCTGTGCTTTTTTCTCCTACCGGGCTTCCTGTTTATGTCACGCAATCTTCAACAACATGGATGCGGCTAGATTCATCTCCCTTCTTATAATAGTATTGCCGTATTTTTTCGAGACCTTCAGAGCACATAATAGTGGAGAAAGCAAATTAACAATTCAGCTGCAAAATGGAGTAATAGTTGGTAATGAAGAGGCAGTACCATATGGGAGAAACATTGATACTTTCTTAGGAATTCCTTAYGCACAACCACCAACTGGTGAACTAAGATTCAAGGCTCCTCAACCGGCTAAACCATGGAAAGATATTCGCAAAGCTGCTAACTTTGGTCCTCAGTGCTTGAGAGGACCAGTTAAGGGACATGATGGCCCTCTCGGTAAATTTAAAACAAAGCAAACAAAAAAATAAACAACAACAAACTAACAAGCACTTAATGACTATAGATCTGCATGCATTTTCATTGATTTCTTCTTTTTCTTCTTTATAGGTACTCGAAGTGAAGACTGTCTATATCTGAATGTATATCGACCAGGATCCAGGTCAAAAGACCAACAATATCCTGTCATGGTATGGATACATDGTGGTGGCTTCTATCACGGATCTGGAAATAAATATAGTGGTTCTGTTTTGGCCAGCCATCATGGTGTCATAGTAGTTACTATCAACTATAGACTAGGATTGTTAGGGTTTCTACATGCTCCTGGTACTGAACTTAAAGGAAATTATGGAATGCTTGATCAATTAATGGCATTAAAATGGGTCCAAGAGAATATTCACAGTTTTGGTGGAAATCCAAAATCTGTTACTGTATTTGGTGAAAGTGCAGGAGGTGCAAGTGTTGATTTATTGATACTATCACCTCTAGCCAAAGGCTTATTTAACATGGCTATTGTACAGAGTGGCTTTTCTACTGGTCCATTTTCTTGGTCAAAATCAAAAGACACTTTCCAATATGGTCATTTTCTTGACAAACTAAAATGTAATGACAAGGAAGATCTTGTTTTATGTTTGCAACAAAAGTCAAGTGARGAAATAATTCAATCTCAAGGCTTTTATGACTACTTATCRCTTGGCAGCTATTACCCTGTCCCAGTAGTTGATGGAGAATTCCTACCAGATGAACCAAATGTTCTGTTATCMCAAGGTAAATTTAATCATCTTGATGCTGTCATGCTTGGCTGTAACAAAGATGAAGGTACTTCATTTTTGTCTGCAATTGAACCAGATATTAAAACACCTGCTAATAAAGAGTTATTTGAAAAGATGATCAAGRAAATATGGTTTGTAGCCAATGGTGGTAATGAGTTAACCAGACAAGCTATCTTGTATGAATATACAAACCATACTGATCCACATTCTCCAGAAAGTCTTCGTAAAAGTTGGACAGATCTGATGGGTGATAGTTTCTTTGTTGCATCAGCAATATATTCAGCAAAGACATATTCAAAGGCTGGCATAAATACCTATTTGTATCAATTCTCTCATCGCTCTGCTTTCTCAATTAGACCTAAAAATTCAGGTGTACCTCATTTTGATGAGATTCAGTATGTGTTTGGGTCACCATGGAAACCCAACGATTACACTGATAGGGTTAAGCATTATAATGATGTTGAGAGGGGACTCAGTACTATGATCATGAGAATGTGGACAAATCTTTCTAAATATGGGTAAGTACAGTATACCAGTTGGTTTGATTTTATTGCAATGACRTTTGACTGCTACATGGTGCTATAAATGATTCCATACAGTTTATAATAGTCAAACAAACCAGTTTACTTTTGATAGTTGTTTGTATAAATCATGGCTACCATTACTTATGTCCCACTTACTACATTCCAGGAATCCAGGAAATATTGACTTGGTGGACTGGCCCAAGTACACTGACCATGATCAGCAGTATCTGGACATAAGCCTGACTCCTAGTGTTAAAAGTCATCTTCATGCTGATCGTGTTGTTTTCTGGAATCACCTACTTCCAGTTCTAAATAAAGTTGGGGGTTTGGGGACCAGGGTTAGGGTTAGGGTTAGAAAGAAGAATTATGAACTGTTGGAAACTTCTTTATTTTTATTTTTTACTTTTTATAAAATTTAATGTTAATTACAGTACATATCATCATTTAACTCAATATACCTTGCATTCTAGTGAAATATAGTAAAATATATATAWAATCTAGAGAAGATGAAACATGAACCAAAAGACTACAAACCCACCACTATATGTTACTTTTACTAGTAATTCATTTAATTCAAAAAGCATCCAATCAGCAATAGCCACAATCAGTAACAAATCTTAACRAAATGGGATATAATGTCTATGGTAATTTGGTAATTCTTTTCAGTAAAGGTAAAAAATATACAATTTATAAAGTTTTCTTTCTTTTTAAATGTTATTTTCCTCCTTTGTCACACAAATTTTACCTCTGATTTTTCACTCAATRTTCTTCTTGTCACAAAGTTCTAAATAGAAATCATTCTTCATCTTCTTTTAYTTTCATAAACTTAGAATGAATTTCAGACTGAAAGATTTCCGATTCAGATTTGATATATAAATGCATGTCCTTGTCAGAAATATCTTTATCATTCAACTCCTCTCGTTCTCCATCTTCATCTGAATGATAAAACGCTAAACAGAACATGGACTCYGGATTTCCACTCATTATTTGTGCATCTGTATAACCTTTTCTTATCAAATACTCCATCACTAAATCAATACGTGTTAAATCACAAAAACCAGACTTGCCGTTGATCTTGCCAAATTCACAGTCAGTATCACCACAGCAATGTGGACAACAAGTGTGCCCACAGGAAGATTTGCACTCTGATGCATTTTCTCGTAAGACTCTAGCATGTATTGATTGAGAGAGTTTGCATTCTTTGTGGAGAATTTCATCATCAGYGAGAGGTTTCTTATTACAGCATCTCTCCTGGCACACTTTGACTCTTTTTCTTGCATTATGAACACGAGTTTCTTTCTGTAATTCATCATTCTCTTTCTTTTTCTCCCATTCTAACTTAACATTAACACTACAGTGGTCTTCACACTGTTTATAATATGATATKATTTCTTTAATGAACTTGGCAACATTTCTTTTAGTCAGGTTTTTTATCCATGGTATCTGCTTACCATACTTCACAAGTTCAGTCTTAATGTTACTGAAGCATTGTCTCACATTGTGTGGAATGCACACATTTTGTTTACACACTTCYTTGAACTTTTCATCATCAACTGGACTTCCTTGGACACTTTCAATGCACATTTGAGCTATTCCAATGTTTGTTAATAATTTACTTCTGCCTACACCAATCAGTGTTTCACTGCAAAACTTATCCAAATCATAAGCAAGCTCTTTGACAAGTGGATCTTTCACATCAAACTGAGATAAAATAGCACCCAAAAAATCAGTTTGCTCTTCATGGTTAACAGAAATGTTTAAATAGTTCGAAATCATCCTGATACATCTCAACACGGTAGAGTATTTACAACGAGATGCCTCTGCTACGTTTCGGTAACGTATGAGCACTCCATTACGCCGACTAATAATATAAATACAGGCTGCAATCGATGGCTTTAATGTTCTAGGCAAACCCTCCATTTTTCTTGTCGGATAAAATATACTTTTCATCATTTCCACAACTTGAGGGACGTAGTCTTCAGGGAGATGCAATCTCTCTATTTGCTCGCTCACTCTTTTTTTCATTTGACCACTTGAGCCGTCTCCGTGAACATTAGACATCCAAGATAATGTTCTCCAGTTCAACTGGCCGGTAATATTTTCATTAGTAAGTCTACTGCCAAAAGTAGTAGGAGAGTCATGCATACCAACTCCATCTTCAAAACTTCCCTCTTTGAATACTACGCCACAYTGTGAACAGACTTCCGTGCTTTTCTCCTCCTCAAATTCTAAAGCGTTTGAACCACAATGTGGACAAGTTTTGGCCATTTTGTATCACTAAAAGAAGTAAAAACACAAATACGCTGACAGTACAAATTCTTGTTGTCAACGTTTCTTCGACGAAGGTCACAACTTTTATACTAGGCGTTCCAAACCAATAGTCCCCAGTCCTACTCGTCCGTCAATATTAAAATGGCTGAGGATGTCCGTGAAAGCATTAGTTTACCCTCCAAAAAGAGAGTTTTAATTTGCGTAACTGGCAGTGTTGCAACCGTGAAACTGGGGCAGCTGGTAGGTGAATTACTCTTRTCGAATAAGGTAAGCGTTGTCTTGAACAAACTAAAATGTGAGTTATGTGATGAAAATACAAAGTGTAGCCGGAGCCGCTAAGTGTGTAGATCGAGTTTACAACAAAAATATATGAAAGCTCGGAATCATATATTTTTGTTGTAAACTCGATCTACACACTTAGCGGCTCCGGCTACACTTTGTATTTTCATCACATCACTCAACTATGCTGCTAAAGGATAACTTTCAACGTTTAAAATGTGAGTTGTTTTTATCTTAAGTTAAACTTGAGCTATAAGCTTTATAAGTTAAGCTTATGTCTTTTAGGTAGAGGTACAAGTTGTTGCTACTGAGAATTCAACGCATTTCTTCAAAACCGAAGAAATTCCTGTCAAAGTGTACAGAGATAAAGATGAATGGCAGGTTAGTATGGATATATATTCGTAGTGCATCCTTACCCTATACCCTCCATACCCTCCAAGGGTTGATTTCACATCACACCCACTCCCTCCACACGTTTTAAATATTTGCAGTATAAAAAGGTAAATGGGTTTAATAMAAATTGATAATTATAAAAATAGAGTTGTGTCTCATTCTTTAATGGTCATTCACCAGGGATGGAAAAAAATGAGAGATCCAGTTCTTCACATAGAGGTAATACAAAAATATTGCTATTCTACTGTTTGAATTGACTAACAATACTTCTGTATTATAGCTCCGGAAGTGGGCTGATGTCATGGTGATTGCTCCACTTGATGCCAACACTATGGCTAAAATATCAACTGGCATTTGTGACAACTTGCTGGTAAATGTGTGTTGCCRAATAATTATTTATTGAAACAGGAATAGGCTCAAATACACCAGTAATATTATTCATGTAATATTAATGTATATTTTTATATTTTATCAGACCTGTATTGTGCGAGCATGGGATATGAAGAAGCCTTTGATTTTTTGCCCYGCTATGAACACATGTATGTGGGACCATCCCTTAACTAATACCCATGTCAGTGTTCTCTGTAACTTGGGATACATATATGTACCACCAATTGCTAAAACACTAGCTTGTGGAGATACTGGTAAGTGATGGCTGATGATGATACATAAGGGGTGTCTTTAGGGGGTATCACAAGGTACAGTCATGGTAATGTAATTTCAACAAAAAAGTCCAAAGTTCCTGCAGTAAACATACTGTGGATTCCATGGTATAGTTTCACTTATGCATACAAAACCCACTTTCTCTCCTATTATTGGTGATCATGCCATCCATTCACTCATATTTCTTTATTTTAATTATTCATAGGAGTGGGTGCAATGGCTGATGTTCGATGCATTGTGGAAACAGTATTACAATCTTTGGTGGAAAAATGTTGACTGGAAAAACAATATTTAATGTACAGAATATTATAGCCTTATATCATAAATATAACTTAGACCAATTTTTTAAATAAAACTGCAAATAGATGTAAAATAAAAACATTCTTGACGAGATATTGACTAGTAGTTTAAACATTAACTAAGCTTCAAAGTAGCAAAGTTAATATTTATATTAAGATACCTGTGGCATTCTAGCCACTCAATGATAGTAATCTTGCTCCCAGAGCAAGCAATTTTGTTGACCAGCATTCTCCTATTAAATTTTACTCTTCAAAAAATGATGTCATACATAGTCAGACATTACATTGATTACATTTTCTCAAAGTTCAATTGATAACCACAGTCTTTACAAGTCTTGGTCCACGTGTCTGTCTCTTCATCATATGTTTCTCCACCCTCTTCACCTTCTTTGGGAAATACATGCTCATGTTTTGACAAATCTTTTCTCCATGTACTGGTACGTACAGCTTTTCTAAGTTCTGTGAACAAATATCCCCTTACTCATTTCATTCATAATTCCAATTTTATTCTAACTATAGTTACCTTTAACTTTTTTGTCAAACTTTTTCTGTTTTTGAATTTCTCTTTTCTCAAGCTTATCTTCTTTGGCTTGTTCTAGTTTATCTTCATCCCCCCAAACTTCATAAGCTCTTTCCTTTACCTCATTGATGAAAAAAAGATCATTCTAAGTGGATGTACTTATATTATCATTTTATCCATGTCATTGAATTTCTTACCTGTGATAATAGATAGAGCTTCATTTCACCTCTTGAATAATGTGGATTCTTTTTGACCTGGAACTTCAATGGTGGTTCTCTCCTATCTAAGTCAACATCCTTCAACAGAAATTGCTGCACAGAGTTCAAAACCAAAAACAATTGATGTTGAATTGTGAAATTCCAATGCAAAAATGACAATGAGAAAATTAGGGGTTTCTACTCACTGGGAACTTGATATGTACAATATATTACAAACCTGCTTGGCCTCAGTTTTAGTTATCAGTGAAAACTTTCCTGACTCATCAGATTGTCTTGTAGAAATAATAAAAGGGAAAAAATGAATGAGAATCAGCATGTGTACAGGATATTAATGATATACCTGCATGAATCACAAATTTCAGCATCAAATATTCGGTAAAGATAAGAATCCATAAATTCCTTTCCACATTCATCACAAATTAAGCGTTCTCCACCAAGGATTGGAGCTGCAATGAATGAAGAAAGTCATCGTATTAATTAATTAAATATCTTTTTAATCAATTTATGTCCTCCTAGGCTTTTATATCATTTATACCTGGTTCTTCTACAAGATTTCTTGGTGGTCTACTCCATTCCTCTTCGTCTTCAGCATCTAAAAGAAATCCWCCTCCAGTGTCTACAATCCTTGAAGATGTTGTACCAGAACTAGAGTTGATGTCATTGTGTGTTTCTCGGTCCTTTTCCTTGTTTCTCGGTGGATATGGCCGATTGGTCAGTCGAGAATTTCGAAGTAATAAAGCCTTTTGCCTGTTTCGCTCTATTCGTGCTTTTTGCGCATTAGTGAGCTTTGATTCAGACATTTGTTTTCAAGTTATGTAAGTCTTCCCTCATGTTGGATTATTATCATGGTAACTACCGCTGTCAACTACGACCGCATATTCATGTGTTCAGTGGTCGCCATTTTGTTGAACAAAGCCGTAGGAGAGACAAAACTTATATTAGATCCTGTCGTTGTGCATAGAAATGACGATTTGCGTATTCCAGGGTGCCATTTCCTGACAGAGATGTAATTTGTTGAGTTTTTATTCAAACTGCGATTATGCATCTTATTTTTCTGACAACAAAACAAACAGTGTGCTTTGATATGCTGCATTGAACCCGATCATAATGGCAGACACCAAGTTATTAAAGAAATTTGGAGGTGCGGAGTTGGTTATGGTCATCATATTCGCAGTAACGGTAAGTATGGTGTTTCTGTGAGCAGTTGTGAGCAAGAAGACGAGATTTAATGTTGGGTTTCCTGTGGTGAGAGGGTGTGTGTAGATAAATTAATAAAATGGCTCAAATGTTTTCAACGATTTTTGTCCTTGAATTATGTCTTACTTTTATTTCAGGTTGTTCTGCTTATTGTGATTTTGATCAAAAGACAAATTTTAAGGATGCTGCTGATATCAAAAAGGGGTCCACACACTGCTGTAGGAACCGGTGCACCTCAGGTACCCAGTTGATAAATAATAGTTGGGAGATAATTGTAGTGCAAAGCAATGATGTTCATTAATGGTAACCTTTTCTAAATATAACATTAGTTTGTTTAATTCTGCAGATATTAGATAGAGAAATAGAAGTTAGACTTAGAAAAATTGCAAGATTGAGAATTGAGCCAAGAATGATGGCAGAGCAGTTTAATAAATCATCAGAAGAAACAAATGAATTTGATTSTCCTCCAGGTACAAATACATAATATCCTCTAATAGAATCAAGGCTGTATAATCTCCCCCATCATACCTTAACTCTAATGAATTATTTTTTCTTAAAGAAAGATAACTTGAAACTGTTATTTTATATAATGTAGATCAATATGCAAGGAGCTATAAGTATAGATTGAAAGCAATGGACAAAATGACGGAACTTGGTAAGTAACAGGGAAAATGTCTCTGTCGTAGAGTAAACAGGTAATGGATCATCTGCTATTATACATAATGTGTATTGGTTTCAAAGATCGTAAACAATCCAATTCAATGTCAACAGCTGGAATTTCATTTGAAGTATACTTTATATTAATCATCAATTACTTTTCAGATGACCTTATTTGCTCTATCAACAATAAATATGGTAGAAGAAAAGGCCAATCTGTAAGAGGTTACCTTCGCATGCTACAGAAACATCCATTTAATGTAATAAAAGGGGGTGATGATACTATTGATAAACTGGCTGAGATGTATGAGCATGCTAGATATGAACCAAAGGTACAACAAAAACCATATACACACTACTCCCCCACATTACCTGTTTTATGTACAAATCCATCACCTCTACTGCAAACAACAAAGGAAAGCACAATGTTTTAACTTGATTATCTTTTAACTTTTTGAAGGAATTTGGAAACCTACAGTATCGCAAGTTTGCCTACTTGGTTGAACAAATGAAAGACAGGTTTGTTGCTTATGGCTTTTATTTTATTGATGCAATCATTACAACTATATCAGCTTTAATATTCTAAATCCTCTTTAAACTGTCTTTGTAATATGATACTACCTGTATAGAATACTATTTTGGACAACATTTTAACAAATGCATGCATCATTGCTTCTTTAAAACTTGTGGAAATATATCTCAAGAGCCAACAAGTTGTAGTTATTTTGGATTTTTTATATGTCTTAGGGTGAACCTTGATGTGATTTCTCCTGCGAGTACTCTGGACACTGTAACTTACATAGTCCAATTCTGAGATACTTCACACCTTGCTTATCTAGTGTCAGTACTTTCCCTTCTTATGTCTCTTATTCTTTCCTGAGTCCTTTGTTATCTACAACGTTGTACTTTGTACATAATAAATTAATGTGAAATCTTAATAATTTAGGATAATCAAACAAACAAAAACATAGAATAAAATTAACCCAAAATAATAGTCTATTAATTGAATAGACTGATTAATGCATCTGATTACTCAATATTCATATTTCAAAATCTTGTTGTCTTGAAATGTTATGGTGTCGGCATCAGAGTGCATGTTGCATCTATGGGGAATGTTTTAACCAAAGGACAGATGAAAATAATGACTGCAAACATTATCCATGCATTGCTTAGTGTAAATATAGCAGCACTTCYTTTTCACAACTCTGCATGCATCTAGCTATTTTTATTTTTATTCAAATGATTGCATCATATTTTTATGTTGACTATCAAGATAAACTTAGTATTCAACTTAGTATCACTTATTTTCAACAGGGTAAGGCTTTATATCAATGTTCCTGGAAGTCTTATAATTAACACCTCAAGCAAGCAACCCAAAAAGCCTCCAATATCAAGCACTAAAGTTGCAACACAAAGCACAGAGATTAGACCTGATGAAACAGAGGAACAAAAAGAAGATGAATCAAAACTTTTACCAAATAAAACACCAGAAAAAGAACAAATTGAGCAGCAGGAATTAGACATTGAAGAAACAGATGATGTAAACCAACCACTTTTGCCAAACCAGGAGAAGGTTGAACCAACAGCTAAAGACTCTGTGTCTGTTGATACAGTTGTGTTGGTTCATAGTGGAAGTACAAAGGAGCCAACAACAAGTAGTGGATTGAATGAAGGGCCTCCTCTATAGCAGGACTTGAACTATTACTACAGTTACAAATTCTACTTGAATTTTAAAAATAACACCATTGTATAGTATATATATACATAATAAGACATAGTTGTAATTTATACAAAAAATGAATGTCTAAGCAAGCCAGAGAAAATATTTCATGGTTTGGTGAGCTTTCTACAAGATTTAGTTCTTGTCAATGTATTCAGTGTGATCTAAGGAAAATATGAAATACTGATAATACTTTATAAGTCTAAATAAAGTGGATGGGTTTGATGAAATCTCCACCAAGTTTCAATTTTTAATCTTCATCACTTTCCTCTTGTTGCTGAATATCATCTGATTCACTTTGAGTGTCATCTTCTTGTATTTCCTCTTCTTTTACTGTATCTCTATAATGATCTTTAGCTTCCTGAGTTGTAAATTTCAAGTTTGAACAGCTTGAAGTAGGATTCCTATGTTGCATTAGTCTTTCGGTGGCTTGCTTGGTTCGAAGTGCCTAAAAGGTGTAGAAGGAGTAATCAATTGCCTAACTTCCTTATGAAAGGGGATTATTATGTGTTTCATATTTGTACCTCATATTCATTCTTTTGTGCTTGCTGTAATTTTATTGACTCTTCCAATGAAATTTGCTTAATTTTCTGAAAAATAACACAGATGTGATTAAGACTGACATGCATGACCAGGGAGAGAAAGCAAGATGGATGATCTGATTATGGCTATCTATGTTCATCAATTCACCTCAAACTTTGGTTTTCTTTCATACGTCACTGCAGATTCATATGACCATTTGTCTGGTTTCTTTGAATCTTCCCTTGACGAAGCACTAAGCTGGGATTTCTTTTCAGCTGAATCAATATTGTCATTATCCATGTTTGAAATAGCAGTGCAATAATCAGTATCTTCGTCATCGTCACTGTCCAAAGTCAAATCTTGTGTTTGATTAGCATCTCTGCTTTGATGAATACTTATCTGTTGGAATCGTGCAGTTAAATCCTCTGTCTGTCCCCGTTTTATTATCATTTCCTTGAGCATTTTCACCATGTCATGTATCTTTTGCCCTTTATCCGGTAGAGATTTCAAAAATTTTCTAAAAAATGGAAGTATCTGTCATCATCCCGATGGAAAACAACATTTGATGTATGAAATCATAAACATCTCTTCACTCCATGACAAAGCCATGATGCGCAGAAGACTTTCGTTTTTATTAAAAACTTACCCGTTCTGAAGCAGCTTCTCCTGCCTTTGTAGCATTTCAACCAGCTCAATTTTGCTTAATTTTGAAATATCTCTTTTGGATTTTTCCGCCATTCCAGAGATTGACAAATTGATTTTCAATTCGACACAGKACAAAATGGTGGCATTTTTCACTTCCAAAGTGCTYAGAAGGATCCTAGAATTTCTTAGAAAACCTAGAAAAGTAGGTTCTTTAACATTTAGATACCAAACGCAAATAACAACGACAATCACATCGTTCCATTCGTATCATCCGCCATTTTGTAAATAAGCAGCCAGGCCTTTTGGTAAAACCGCTGACATGATATACTTACAGACACCAAAGTGAAAGACACTTCTTATTTTCTTCTTTTTCATATGTTTTTTTGTGTTTTTAGTCACCTATTATTGTAATGCTGCTTGTGAGACTTAAACAGTGTACAATTTTTGCTGTTGTCGTACTTTGCATCATACCGAAAGGTACTTTGGGAGATAGTGGTAAGACTAGGGCTGGTTATAAATTCCAATCTTATAAGTAACTTAAATTCATACTGTACAGATCGATCACTTACAAGCTCGGTCATCTCAGTTTCATTAAGAATGTCTGCTTTATTTCTCACTTAAGTACAATTATATGTTTACTCAAAGTTACTACCAACTCTCTCCAACAAATTCTGCACATTGCAAGCAATATCACTTACTTCGAGCCTGCTGGATATGAAACAGATGTCATTAAAGAACAGCATAAGGCAGCATGCATGAATCCAAGTGGTAGTGTTGTAGTAATACGACTATTTGCTTTCGAAAGGTATTTCATAATGTCAATCAATATTATGATGCTACTCTGATCAATCATCAGCAATATATCTTTCATAGTTTGGTTATCTCTTTATTACTAATAGGAACTTTAATCTAATTGTGCATCAAGATGTGGATTTATTTCATAAAAACTTAAAAATTACCAGTCAGTCAAAGGAACATGGCATCTTATATACCCAGTCTATCAGCATCAAGGAGTATTACAAAGGAAATGTTTCAGGTAACGTCAATCAAGTGATAAGCAAAATGTTAAGTGAAAAGCTGTTGTGATTACCATATTTTTCAGGTGATGAATCATCATATGTCAATGTTAGAATCCATGATGGTATAATAGATGGCTGTTTTTATACACAACRTGAACAATACCATGTTGAGCCAGCATCAAGACATTTCATGCAGCCAGTCCCATTTCATTCATTGGTATACAGATCAAGTGATGTGTACTTCAATGATTCAAATGCAAAAATTATGGCACATCAAGT